ATATAGAATAACATACAGGGTACAAATATAGTAACATACAGGGTACATATAAAGTAACATACAAGGTACATTTAGAGTAACATACAGGGTCCATTTAGAGTAACATACAGGGTCCATTTAGAGTAACACACAGGGTACATATTGGGTAACATACAGGATACATTATAGAATAACATACGGGGTACATATAGAGTAATATCCAGGGTACATATTGAGTAACATATGGGGTACATATGTGAATCTTGCTGTATCATTAAGTGATTTTTATCATCAGGCCCTCTCACCCATGTAATCATGTGCCTTCTGTGATGCTAATATACACCTGAGGAACTTCAAGACTTTGCAAAAACCAACCAGGGCTCTGCCTGATTTTTTTTTACATCATAGCAAGCTTGTCATCTTTTTTTACATACATTATTTTTAATACAAATATTCATTAACCTAATACCTAAAAGGTGTTAAATACTGATAAAAATGTAACTGATGTAGAAAAACTGTCAAATATCTGGTTTTATAAACAGGATCTCATATCAGCTTGTCACTTAAGATTAAGCACGTTCGTGTGGACTGAGTGTGAGAATAAAATGAAACACATGGTGCAAGCTGCTGAGTTCAGATAAAACCCTTTATCTTCACCGAGGTGAAACCTTCAAACCTTGCACAACATCCAGAACAGCTCCGTGCTCTCATGTAGCTTTACCCATGAATCTCTGCTGCTCATAACTCACACACATGCAAATATTTTAGTGCTTTGTGTATTTTTGGTGCTGTGTTTTCAGACAGATATTAGGCTGAAGTGGGCTGTAGTAGAGGCTAGAGTCATTTACCACACGGCTGAGATTGCACAGGATGTTTTTATCTTCAGTAGGTTTGAGTAACAATATCACTGTCACTTCTTAAGTTGATGTAAAACTCTGGCATGAAGGCGTCCCTGGAAAGAATTTTAATGCTCAGTTTATGTCACAGATTAGCCGTACCTGTCTTATTCAGTGTCTTCTGTTGCTGGAGTTGAGTTTCACACTCGGCTCGAGCTCTCTCCATCTCCCAGTAGAGCCGGCAGTGGGGAAACCTTCCATTAACCTGTCAGAGTGACAGGAGATAAATATTATAAACATGAACAAACGTGACACGTAAAGATTAAAGCTGCGTTCAGGCTGCAGAGTTTATGTTTCTGCTCACCGTGCTGCTCAGACAGTCCCTGTGAACTCATTCTGGTGCTTAGTTTTATAGTTTTGACAACGAAAAGATGAATGTCTTCTGTGTGGGTCGCTCCTCAGCTGAACAAAATCATTCTGAGCATTTATAGATGACAAATAGAGGCATCAAATCAAGTCCACATGTTTCCTCATTCAAGCACTTAACAGTTTAAAGTTGCAACAAAAATAAATAAAAAAACGACGAAAGTTTCTTTAAGTCTTTAAAAGTTTTCGGATTAGTTTAATGCTGCAGAAAACTTTACTTTTGCTCTGTTTCTTGTGGTTTTAGGGAGTTTTATTGTGGTGAACGTCAGGCAGGAATTTCAGCTCGAAGCTGTTTTGTGATTTTTCTGGCAGGTTTACTGAGAACAAAAAGTTAAGATGTTCTTACTTTGGAGAACAAGTTCTAAGAAAAGGACTTGATAAAATGTCTGCCTTACCTCTATCATTGTCTAAATTTAAGGTTGCTTTGATAAAAGGGATAGTTTTGTTTTTTGTGTGTAGCACGCTGATACAAATCAATTTTACCTCTCAGCATTGCACGTCATGATGCTTTAAAGTTTATAGATAATTAAATTTAAATCTATGGGATGCTATGCAACATGCTGTATGTTCAGACGACTGTCTCCACGTGCCATCAATAACAGAAAGAACGACAGTTTTAAAGTCAGCACTTTGTTTTATTTTGAAGAAGGATTGTTATGTATAGTTAGTCAGCATCTTACCTGCAGCAGAAAGCAGTGAAAGGGATCTCAATTCGGAGAATCAGAGAGAGATTTTCAAGGAGTGGAGTTAAACACTAACTCACAGAGGAACTTTTCAAAAGCAGTTTCAGATAAAACTCAAAGGCCTCGCAGCGCTTTGACTGACTCTTACTGCAGATCACTCATTTTTACATCTTCTCACTTCATCAGACAGTTTTACTTTTACTTTGCGGCTATTTTAGCTATTTTATTTTATTTGCGTTGCCACACTAACTGCAGCAGTAAGGCCACTAACATAATTCATCCCTTCATTTAACCTGACTCGTACAAATCCTATCTTCTGCTGATTAAATTGGGGGTTCCGCAGGGGTCCATCCTGGGTCCCCTCCTATTCTCTTTATACCTGCTGCCACTTGGTGCTATTTTCCGGAAACAAAACATGCCCTTTCACTTCTACGCCAATGACAATGACGTCAAATTAACTTCCCCCTAAGACACAATGGTACATGCTCTATTCAACCGCTGCTCAACTGCCTGGCTGACATCAGGGACTGGATGGCTTTAAACTTCTTAAGTTTCAATGAAAAGAAGTCTGAAGTCATGTTGTTCCCTCCCAACGACACGATCACAAACCACTGCATCGACCTTTCCACTCTAACCCTGTCAGAAAAACAAAGAGTCACTAATCTGGGCGTGATAATGGACCCTTCCCTGAAGCTTAACAATCATGTAAACATAATTGTTAAATCATGCTTCTTCCAACTGAGGCGGCTGTCTAAACTGAAGCCCATATTGTCCAAAAATAACCTGGAGACAGTAATACATGTATTCATTACATCTAGGCTTGATTACTGCAATTCGCTCCTGTTTGGTATCAGTCAGACCTCCATTGCACAACTACAACTGGTCCAGAATGCAGCAGCCCGATTTTTAACCAGTACAGCCAAAAGAGCACATTACAACAGGTTTGGCCTCCCTGCACTGGTTACCGGTTCACCTTCAAATCCAGTTCAAATTACTCCTGTATGTCTACAAATCACTGAACAGTTTCGCGCCCCCCCATCTCTCTGATTTGCTACAACCGTATGTCCCTCCATGTTCCCTGAGGTCAGCGGACCAGTTGCTCCTCACAGTTCCAGGAACTCGTCTTAAGCACAGAGGTGACAGAGCCTTCTCTGTAGCAGGACCAAGACTTTGGAATGAGTTACCTCTGCTTGTCAGATCCAAATTTCAAATCCCGTTAAAAAACCCACTACTATTCAGTAGCTTTCAACACCAGATGATCTGTGTTTTGAACCTGTATGCTCCACACTGGTTTAGTCGTCATATTTATTATCTGCATCGTTTTTATGTCTATATTTTTGATTTACTTCATTTTGTATATTGCTTCATGTGTTACCTGTTGTTCTGTCTGTACGGCACTTTGGTTGGCCTTGTTACTGTTTTAAGTGCTCTATAAATAAAATGGTATGGTATGGTTATTTACTGCTTGTTGTTTTGAGTCTAAATGAGTCACTGTAGATTTGATGAGCACAGAACAGGAACAGTTTATTTAGGCCCTCTTCACACTGAACCATGACTCGCTACATTCTCTACGACCTGGTGGAACGTGGCTGGATCACAGCAAATTTGGAAAATCTTCTTTAGTGGGACGATAATCATGGCACTGTCATGTTCTCATCATTTCCTGCCCATTATCTGAGGTTAGACTGCAGAGGCATCAAGTCCAAGAGGGAAGCTGAGACATCCCTCTCCCCAGCTCCTCTCTCCTGGGGGATCCCAAGATGTTCCCAAGCCAGAGAGAAGACATAATCCCTCCAGCAGTGGATTCTGGCTCTGCCCTGAGGTCTACGATGTGTTTGGAAATCACCGTAGAGGGAGGCACGTTTTTAGATGCCTGAATCAACTCAGCCATCTCCTCCAGACTGACAGAGCTCCTCACCTGATCTCTGAGGCTGAGCTCTACAGCTGTGTAGGAGCTAGTTGTCTATTTTTTATTGTCTTTGAACTTAGTTTATTGGTTCATAAATTATCTTATTTTTAGGTTTGATTTTTAAATTATATTATTATTATTATTATTATTATTATTATATTGTGTGGACATCATGGGAAGTTCCCCTGGATTGGCAGACCGGGGTGGTGGTCCCCCTATTCAAAAAGGGGGACCGAAGAGTGTGTTTCAACTACAGGGGGATCACGCTCTCAAGCCTCCCTGGTAAGGTCTATATTCGGGGGTTCTGGAGAGGAGGGTCCGTTGGATAGTCGAACCTCGGATTAAGGAGGAGCAGTGCGGTTTTCGTCCTGGTCGTGGAACACTGGACCAGCTCTCAGCAGGGTCCTGGAGGGTGCGTGGGAGTTTGCCTAACCGGTCTACATGTGCTTTGTGGACTTGGAGAAGGCGTTCGATAGCATCCCTTGGGGAACCCTGTGGGGGGTACTCTGGGAGTATGGGGTACCGGGCCCTTTGATACGGGCTGTTAGGTCCCTGTATGACCGGTGTCAGAGCCTGGTCCGCATTGCCGGCAGTAAGTCGGGCTTGTTCCCAGTGAGAGTTGGACTCCGCCAAGGTTGCCCTTTGTCACCGATTCTGTTCATAACTTTTCTGGACAGAATTTCTAGGCGCAGCCAATGTGTTGAGGGGATCCGTTTTGGTGGCCTTAGGATTGCGTCTCTGCTTTTTGCAGATGATGTGGTCCTATTGGGTTCATCAGATCGTGATCTACAGCCTTCGCTGGAGCGGTTCGCAGCCGAATGCGACGCGGCCGGGATGAAGATCAGTTCCTCCAAATCCGAGGCCATGGTCTTGAGCTGGAAAAGGGTAGAGTGCCCTCTCCAGGTAAGGGAGGAGGTCCTACCCCAAGTGGAGGAGTTCAAGTATCTTGGGGTCTTGTTCACGAATGAGGGAAAAATGGAGCGTGAGATCAATAGGAGGATAGGTGCAGCGTCTGCAGTGAAGCGGGCGCTGTACAGGTCTGTCGTGGTGAAGAGAGAGCTGAGTCAAAAGGCGAAACTCTCAATTTACCGATCGATCTACGTTCCCACCCTCATCTATGGTCACGAGCTTTGGGTTGTGACCGAAAGAATGAGATCACGGATACAAGAGGCAGAAATGAGTTTTCTCAGCAGGGTGTCTGGGCTCTTCCTTAGAGATAGGGTGAGAAGCTCGATCATCCGGGAGGGACTCAGAGTAGAGCCGCTGCTTCTCCACGTCGAGAGGAGCCAGTTGAGGTGGCTCGGGCATCTGGTTAGGATGCCTTCTGGACGCCTCCCTGGTGAGGTGTTCCGGACATGTCCCACCTGGAAGAGGATTCCTGTGTATCAAATATTTGGTGTCAAGTTGGAATAAACCTGAAATAAACAGGATTTTTTTTGGACCTTTGTGTTAAACACAAACCCACGGAGCAACAAGGGACTAGCTGAGTAACATTCATCTTCAGTTAGATCTTCATTTTTTGTTTGTTGTTGGTTTTCATGGACAAATAGTCACCACAAACTGTTTGTATCTACGATCTCGTTCTACAGTCATGATCGAAGCCCCATGACCGTAGATCAGAACACCAACTTCTTCATCACGACAAACCTCATTACTGCAGAGGAGCCGAGTCAGCAGTTTATTTTCTGCTCCACCTCACCATCACGTGAACAAGACTCACACGCACTTAGACTCCACCGCTCGAGGCAGAGATCAATCCCTGACTCTGATGAAGTGCTCCATCAAAGCCTGTAGTTCTCATCAAATGGGGTTTTCCTGCTATTTTCCATTTCTTTGAGAAGATCTTGTTTTCGTGCACGCTCTATAAACCCGCCCTGTTTAGACTCTCATGCACGTCAGGATGCAGCTACAGGCGTCAGACCTGCTTTAGATTGGTTCCATAACCCTGTCCTGATCATGGTCGTAGCCTATAGATATGAGACCAGCATGGTTAGTCGTACTTCACCATCACTGGACCAACGGTATTCTACTTTATCACACACTGAGGTCCTAAGACCTGGACATGGTCCTGCAAAGATCCTCTAAGTCTGGACTTTCTTACACTGTACTGGGGCCAGTGAATCTGAAGGAGGTCTCTAACAAACCTATCAACGTGATCATTGTTTGGTTAGGGAACAAAGAAGAGCAACATCAGTTATCTTCTCGTGTGTGTGACAAAGAATAAAAACAGGTCCAAAGTTTGTCACTTGTTGTTTCACTCGATGAAAAGTGACTCGTGAATGAGCTCTGTTTAATGTTGCAGTTAGTTCTCAGGGAGACTCTCATTTTTAACACTGCTTTGATTGCAGTCTACCACAGGTAAGATACTGACTGCTTGGAACTACACCACACAGCATCATGTGTGTTTAACAGCTGCTACCACTTCATTCTGAATAATAAATACAGAAACAGTAGGTGGGCCAGAATCCAACACTAAAACCAAAGTTTTACATTTTTGTCTCCTGACCTTTTAGAGGAGGGACATGATGTTTGTTTGTATCTCTTGGTTTCTCTGAAGATTTATAAAATATCTCTTAAAAAGCAGTGCACAGATTTTATAAACTCTCAGAACATTTAAAGCTGATTATCTTTTAGAATAAAACCAATTTAAGATGGCTGCCACAGCTAATCACCAGAAAACAGTGACATTTACAGAGGTTGATGGAACATTTGGTGTGGTAGTAGCTGAGAGTCATTCACAACACACACTTTGAGCGCTAACCGGTAACGAGGTTTGACCCAACTGAGAGAAATGTCTCTTTTAGGAGCTCCTCAGCTCCGAGACTTCACACATGAAATATGGTTCAAAATTTAAACAGGTCACCAAAAGTTGGATTTTACTCGTCTGAACTGGCATTTAGATATCTAATGGTTTTACACCATCACAGTGTAAGTTGATTCTGGGTGGAGTTTGCATGTTAGTCAGTGCTGTGTGTTGTCATCATATATGTTCCCATGCATGCCTGAATTAGTTCTCTGCATTTAACCCATCACACCTGGGATGCACCAGGTGGAGCAGTGGGCAGCTACGTGAGCACCCGGGGAACAACTAAAATAGGTGTCTTGCTCAAGGACACCACGACATGTGGGCATGATGGAGAGTTGAACTTGCAACTTTCTGGTTCCAAGTCAGCTGCCCTACCTCTACCCCATCTCGGCCTTGTGTTCACTCTGTTTTCTCCGGGTGCTCCAGTTTCCTCCCACAGACCAAAAACATGCATGTTAGGCTGATTGGTAACTCTAAATTGTCTCTAGGTGTGAGTGAGAGAGTGAATGATTGTTTGTCTCGTGTGTCTCTATGTGTCCCTGTGATGGACTGGAGACCTGTCCAGGGTGTCCCCCACCTCTCACACAGTGACCGCTGGATATGGGCACCAGTGAATCCCGCAACCCAAAAAGGAAGAAGCGATGGATGTTCAACCAATGATGCAAAAGTTTTACACAGAAACCTTTGAGCTTCTAAACTTTATCATGAAGCACTTTGGTAACGGCTGCTGTTGGAAATGTGCTTTATAAATAAATGTAACCCAATGTAAATGTAATGTTTGTGTCTTATTTCACCCCGTGGTTCTGCTCTCACAGCTGCAGACTGAACAGAGCAAACGACCAAACAGTCAAATCCTTCAGTTAAATTTGAGCTCCACAATCTTTCCAAAACTGGGACTTTGGATTAATTTGAACTGGTCATAAATTCTCCGTTAAGCAGCAACATAAAAGTTTACACGTGTGCTGCTCACGGCTCAACAGTCTTTACGATGTGACCTGTGTGATTTGTTTTTGTCAGCAACTGTTTGTTTGAGGCTTACTTTTTAGTCTGCATTGCTGCCTGATGCTGTCAGGGAGTGAGAGACCTACTTGATGATGATGATGATGAATAATGAAACTGTTCTTTTTATTATGACATCATTTTCTCAGTTTGGATGATTTTAAAGTTATGTTGAGTTTTGAGCAGCTTGTTTCAAAATAATTTCTGAAACGCTCCAGTAGATTGTTGGAAGAACAAACTGAGTTTAATAAATGTCTCAGGAGAAGTGGGTTTAATCTGTTATTCCATGAGAATATGTAAGTCAAAGAGCAACTGACCGTGTGGATGAGGAGGATGAAGCCGAGCAGAAGCAGAGCGCGCAGGTGCGTAAAGGACATCACATCTGGTCCAGTGGTGGCAGAGCCCACCTGAGGAGCAGCGTGGACCTCACCTGGTGGCCATCCTGAGCGGGAAACAGCTGACGTGAAACACGACCAAACTTTCAGGCCAGTTGAGGATCCCAGTTCACCAAAGCTCTCCAAGATTTCTGCGCCTCGCTCGTCACCTTTACGCACGGAGCTTCAGCAGGACCAGAGCTTCCTTTAGAGAAACACGTGAACCCACGCGGGCCTGAGGAGTGGGTTTGGAAGAAACAAAACCCCAGAGAGGTTCAAACCTCACACAGCAAACAGACACGCGCGACTTGGATCCTGATCGGAGCTGCGCAGAGAGGAGACTGAACCCATGGGGCTCAATCTATGCAGCGCGTGCGCGTCTAGGGCAACCCAGGACCGTGCGCGCTCCAGCTGCAGCAGCCTGAGGCCAAAATCCAACAACGACCTCGTGTGGAAACATCTGGCTAAAACAGAAGAGTCACAGCTGGAGGAAGACTTCAGTCTTTTTGTCTTCAGATTAAATTTCTCTCAAAAACACAAAACCTGAAACTTTTATTTACTTGAAGTGATGAGAAAATAAAAAGTGCAGTCATTAATTAAAATCTTTTTATTTTGCTATCTGC